TTGAGGAGAAACCGGAGAATATTCAAATTTAAGCAGTTTATATCCATATGACTTTGAAATATTTAAATTGTTTTCCTATCCTGCTCCTAGCTGTACAGGTAGCCCTTGACTCAGAACCACAATTGGGATCACACTTGGCCAAATAAAGTATTCTATTCTATTCTATTCTATTCTATTCTATTCTATTCTATTCTATTCTATTCTATTCTATTCTATTCTATTCTACATTTTCTCTATTCTATTCTGTTCTGTTCTGTTCTGTTCTGTTCTGTTCTATGGATTGGAAATTCTGTTGCTAAGGGATGCACGTTACATGATTTGTGCCTGATTTTACAATCTTTTTTGCCACGGACATTAAGCAATTTACCACAGTTAGGGTGGAGACCCCTGTTCTAGAGCAAGCTATTTCTCTTCAAAACTGATGTTCCCTTTTCTACGCAGCCCCACAGAATTCTGCAGTGGGAAGGGGCCTCAAGCTCTCTGCAGTTGTTCAGGAAAACCCATTAAAGCATCCTTGAGAGGCAGATGCCTAACTTCTGCTTAAAACCTTCCAGAAATGGGGAAAACCCACCTTTTTGCAGGTAGACTTTTTCAGTGAGAAAAGCTACGGGGGGAAAAAATGTACGTGGGTTTTTCTTCCTAGCAGTGGCCTGAATCCAACTGCACTGGGGACAAAACAGAAACCGCAGGCTTAGGAATAGATGAGCAAGCTGAAGGCGGTTCGTCCTTTCACAGCAAAAGTTGGTTTAAGGGCACACAAAGACACACACAAAAAATACTCTCCTCTGGTTTAAAGTACCCTGGGCAGACACGTCCTTTGACTTCAGCATTCCCCTGAATTCTTCCTCCCAGTGTTAACCCTCCACCAGTCTTCCATGTGTGTTTGGACTACCACTCCCAGAATTCCCAGCCAGGCTGGTATACCGGTAGTCCTTGACTTTCTGTTGCTAAGCAGGGCAGTTGTTAAGTGAGTTGTGTCCCATTTTATGACTTTTTTTGCTACAGTTGTTAAGTGAATCTGGCAACCCCATTGACTTTGTTTGTTAGAAGATCACATGATCCGGGGACACTGCGACCGTCATAAATATGAGCCAATTGCCAAGCATCTGAATTTTGATCACGTGACCCTGGGGGGGGGATGCTGGAAAAGTTGCAGGTGTGAAAAACGGGCATGTCACTTTTTTCAGTGCCATTATAATTTCGAACGGTCACTAAATGAATTGTTGTAAGTCAAGGACTTCCCATATTGTGTTCAGGCAGATCTTGTATTCCTGCACTGGTCTTGGAACTTTTTAAAAGTTAAATATGCTAGTTCAACGTCAGCAGTTCCGCAAAAGTTTCTAATTATGCAGAATCCACCCTGTTCTTAAACTCGCTTGAAAGACAAAAACTTCAGCAGAGAGCCCCGTGACCCACCCAGGACAACCCATGGGTCACTCTGGACTGCCATGCAGGCCAATCTCAGGACAGGAGAGGGGGGATAAAACCCTAATTAGGTCTGAAGAGCTACTCCTGCTCATCACCATTCTGAATCTGGCTCAAGAGTTTATTGATGTTAAAGTTACACAGAAAGAACAAGTGCTGAAAAAAAAAGGAATAAAGCTAATAAAAGGGAAGCAATAAAGAGAGTGAATGAAAAGACAGGGAAATAAACCATCATTGCAAGCGCTTGTATGGTCTGCATTCTGTCAGCCTTGCAAGGTAGACAAGAAGCAGGGCCAGGTGAACTAATTCTACTTTATTGCAAGGTGACATCAATCTTGAGAGTCAAAGATGAAAGTGAAAAATTTGGGACTGCACCTTAGCCATCAAGAAAACAAAGATAATGACAGCTGCAAGAGAACACCCAGGGCGGAGCGCAGAGCGACAATGAGACCATCGGAACAGGAAAGGAATTCGTCTTCCTGGGCTCTGAGATCAACCAACGTGGTGACTGCAACCCTGAGATCAGAAGACTGCCAGCTCCGCCACGAATAACACCCGGAAGAGCAAAGACATCAGCCTCCCAGCCAGATGCAGATCAGTTGACACAATACTTTTTCCAATTGCTACTTACGGCTGTGAAACTGGGACTCTGAAACAGGCAGATGGGAGAAGGGTGGACACCTTCAAACTGTGGTGCTGGAGGCGACTCTGATGCACCCCAAAAATCCCAAAGAAAGAAGTCCTCGACCGAACTCAATCACCAAAACATCACCAAAAATATCACTTGAAGCCAAGAGGGCCAAGGAGAGGCTGCCCTGCTTTGGACATGCCAGGAGAGCCGATGCTGGGAGCGATCAGTGGGAAAAGGAGACGGGGCCGTCCTAGCGCCCGCTGACTGGACACTATAAAGGATGACCCTGGGATGACCACGCCAGACCCGAAGGAGGCAGAGCAAGGCAGAGGGCCATGGAGACTCCTGATCCATAGAGCTGCTGTGGGTCGGACGTGACGGAAAGGTTGACGACATTGACAGAATCTTGCAAGTCGGAAAGTATAAATCTCCCCACTCAACTATGCAGCCTGAGAAACGAGGGAGGGTCCCTTCTAAGTCATTTGCCCTGCCCACCTCCCTACTGTGGGCTAGGTTGCCTTTTACCTCGGCCTTCCCTTAGGCTGCCTCTCTTCTCCCCGTCTCTCAAGGTCATTCCCACATACCGCTGTCAGTGGTTCTCAACCTTTTTAATGCCACGACCCCAACCGGTCCTAAATCGAGGACTAAACTGGTCGTAAGTCGAGGACTAAACTGGTCGTAAGTCGAGGACTAAACCGGTCGTAAGTCGAGGACTACCCAACTGGTCGTAAGTCGAGACTTTCCCTGCCCGGGAGCGCCGCGCATGCGTGGTTCCGCCCCCTGCGCCGGCCGAGGCGTAGCTGGCAAGCGGCAGAGACGGAGCAGGCCGACCACCAGCTGGCCCAGCTCAAGGGAGGTAAGGCACCCGCCGGAAAAGGGGAAAAAATGGCGGACAAAAAAATGGCGGACAAAAAAAATGGCGGACAGCCTTGCTTGGCGACCCCCGTGAAATGGTCGATCGACCCCAAATGGGGTCCCGACCCACAGGTTGAGAACCACTGCGCTATGTCCTCATTCTCTGCCGTGACCAAGAATTCTTAAAAGTAGATCAGTCAAGAGGAGGAGAAAAGCAGAAGACTTTGAAAGTTAAAACCAGAGGCTTAAACGGACAAACAAATGGGAATATCTTATGGAACTTTGTCTTTATACACGATAAGAGCAGAGAGACTTCCATAGGCTCAAAAGGTGGAAGGACTTACAAATTCCTACACTGGAAGAAGGGTGGGTGAAACTGATGGAATGGATAGAGATGGCAAAACTGACAGCCTCGGTGAAAGAAAAGGCTTGACAAATATTATTACTATTTAGACATCACTTTTGAACTTTTTGTGATAAACTGAAAGAAATGAAAAAGTTGATTTGGGAATGTGATGATTAGAATTACAGTATATGGCACTGTGGAAATAATGTGGAGAAATGTTAATCTTAGAGTCAGAATTTGGTGTATTTTTTATTTGTATCGTTCCAAAGAAAGTCAGAAGCCATTCTTTTTCTATTTTTCCTTCTTCTACTTTCTTTCACCTTCTCTTTTATTCTTCTATGGACTTTTTAAAATCTTTTGTTTGTTTGTTTTTTGTTTATCTTTATCTTTGTTTATCTTTTTAACTTTGCACCTTTTTGAAAATCAATAAAGTTATGTAAAAAGAGAAGGGATGGATAAGTTTTTGGAATAAAGAAAATGACTTCAGATCTAGCTGCTGGCTGTATAATTGCATTGGAAGGATTCTGTGTTTTGAACCAACCCAGTCCAAATTCAACAATAACCTTGATTTATATATTTAGCGATGTTTTATTGCTATCTATCTACCAAAAAGAACTCCTGATAGGGGACAAAATCAAAACACTGTATAATAAAACAACTACTTAAACCAATAAACTACATTCAGGGCCTGATAAAAACTCATTTCCATCCATCAACATCCTGGCCCCAGGCATCTCTAAGACACCCTTCACAGGTATCTCAAAGGTTCGCATCCTGTTGTTCCACTCACAAGTGTTGTGAAAAAATAAGAAATATGTTGCGCAGATGAATGGAAGATTAAATCAGACACAATTCTAAGCAACTCCAGCTTTTACGAAGTGTTTTTAATTCACCAGAGATTTAAATATGGGGACTCAGTTTCCCTGCAACCTAACTGGAAGACGATATTCCCCATCATCAAGGAATTATGGAAGTTGAGGTTTAAACACATTTAGAGAGCATCAGACTGAGGGAGACTGCTTTAAGGAAAGGACCTTCACGCCACTTGACATGACACAACAAATGCATGTTCATATTTCTATTTGTTTAACCACGAGGACCAGGGTATAGATCAGTGATGGTGAACCTTTTAGAGACTGAGTGCCCAAACTGCAACCCAAAACCCACTTATGCATCGTCGAGTGCCAGGTGGGTGTGGCCCATTGGGTGAGCGTGGCCCATTGGGTGGACGTGGCCCATTGGGTGGGCGTGGCTGCGGTGGTAACGACAGACTGGGTGGGACTAAAAAGTTCAATCAATCAATTCCAACTTTGCAAGATCTTTTTTCCCCACAAGAAGTTGAAATTGACTGATTGATTGAACCCTTTTTTTTGCACACGGCGGCAGAGGCCTAAAGCAAAAAGGTTTTATAAAACCCAGCTGAAGGGCTAGGACTGGGGCGACGGCGCGCATGCCCACAGAGAGGGCTCTGAGTGCCGCCTTTGGCACCCGTGACACAGGTTCACCACCACTGGTATAGATTAAGAAATAACTAAAACCATAAATTAAATTGAGCTTCTCAGATGCTGCATTCTGCATTCAGTGGCACCCTGTTTTCCCCTCATTACAAGATTTATCATGAAGATTTCCAGAAGCCTAATCATGGTTTACCTCCTGAATTTGAATCTACTTGTTCATTTAGGGTAACCTCAGTCTCCATTTCAATACAGCTACCAGCAGAAAGGAAGAAAGCTTTGTACCCACCTGGCCATTTGCTTATATGCTTCTTCTGCAACTGCGAAAATATGAGGGTCCATATCGCCCATGTTTTGGCCGCTGTAGGCGTAGATGACATCTTGTCCATAAATTGGCAACTGTTCGTAAGGATTTATGGCAACAAGCACGATACCTTAAAAATAACAAGAATGCGAACACTTCAAACAATGCAAAAACAGAGAGGCACAAAAACGTACAAGTAGAGTAGTTCAAATATGACTCACTGGTCACTTCATAGTGTAAACAGGCCTTTTTTTTATCGTGCATCAATTTGCAAGCTCATTGCCTGCTATTTAAGCAAATAAATAAGCAAGCAGAAGCACTCACCCCTACTTTTTGTTTTATATGTTCAGCATGTTTGAAGGTCTTCCAAATTAAAATTCAACTGCTGCAGGTTTCCTAAGCTGGCAACTTTTTCTCAACCAGAAAAATCTCTAAAGTGTCTACTACAGAACTTGAAATAACAGAGAGGCTAATTTGAATATAAACTATAGGAAGCCCTTGACTTAGGACAACAGCTGAGCTCAAAATTTCTGTTGCTAAGCAGGGCAGTTGTTGAGTGAGTTGTGTCCCATTTTATTACCTTTTTGCCACAGTTGTTAAGTGAATCACTGCAGTTGTTAAGGAAATCTAGTTCCCCCGTTGACTTTGCTTATCGGAAGCTGGCTGGGAAGTTACAAATGATGATCACATTATTCCGGGACAGTCGAACTGTCCTAAATACATGCCAGTTGCCAAGCGCCCGAATTTTGATCACGTGACTATACAAATGCTGTCGAAGTCATCAGTGTGAAAAACGATTATAAGTCAACATTTTCGGTGCCGTTGTAACTTCGAACAGTCCGTTGTTTCTCGTCCTGCCTTCTGGTGCTTTGGAAAATAAGTTGACCCCCTCCTCTTTGTGGCAGCCCCCCCAAATCCTGGAATACAGCTATCATGTCCCCCCTAGTCCTTTTCTCTAGACTAGGCAAACCCAAGTCCTGCAGCCGTTCTTCGTATGTTTTCATCTTCATATGTCCTAAATCATCTTAGTTGCCCTTCTTTGCACTTTTCCAAAATCTCAACATTTTTTTTTGTAATAGGGTGACCAAAACTGGATGCGGTATATTCCAGGTGGTGGCCTTACTAAGGCTTTATAAAGCCATACTAAGACTTCACGTGATTTTGATTCTATGTCTCCGTTTATACAATACAAAGATTGTTATCAGCTTTTTTTTGGCTGCTGCCACACACTGCTATGGTAATACTCACCACAATAGGTATAGATGTGATTTGATTCCAAAAAGCGGAGTTTTAGGTTATGCAAGACCGCCGGTTCATGGAGGTAACTTAAAGCTGTCAAGTCATTTTCTCCAACCAAAATATCTGGATTACGCAAAAAAGGAAACTTGTTCTCTTTAGGATCAACCGGATATTCCAGGATCTGAAATCGTAAAGGAAAAACAGTCATTCATCAAAAGGCCACCTGGGACATTTTTACATTTCCATGACCTGACCGAAATAATCTTTTAGGATACAAAAAAAAGCAGGAAAATCAAGTGGGGGGGTGGCCACATGCACAAAACAGATTCTCGAGGGGGGGAAAGTTGCATAAAATAGGGTGACAATTTGCAGTTTAAATTTAAAAGCTTTCCTCATATGATCAGTTCGTTTACCCACAAAGGAAAGCATTACGCGAAGTATTAATACCACTTTACAAGGCCTTGGTAAGGCCACACTTGGAATACGGCATCCAGTTTTGGTCACCACGATGTAAAAAAGATGTTGAGACTCTAGAACAGTGGTTCTCAACCTTTTTAATGCTGCGACCCCCAACCGGTCGTAAGTCAAGGACTAAACCAGTCGTAAGCCGAGGACTAAACCGGTCGTAAGCCGAGGACTACCCAACCGGTCGTAAGTCAAGGACTTTCCCTGCCCGGGAGCGCCGCGCATGCGTGGTTCCGCCCCCTGCGCCGGCCGAGGTGTAGCTGGCAAGCGGCAGAGACGGAGCAGGCCGACCACCAGCTGGCCCAGCCCAAGGGAGGTAAGGCACCCGCCGGAAAAGGGAAAAAAATGGTGGACAGCCTTGCTTGGCGACCCCCATGAAATGGTCGATCGACCCCAAATGGGGTCGTGACCCATAGGTTGAGAACCGCTGCTCTAGAAAGAGTGCAGAGAAGAGCATCAGGGGACTGGAGGCTAAAACACATGAGGAAAGGCTGCTGGAATTGGGTACGTCTAGTTTAAGGAAGAGAAGGACGAGGGGGGACAGGATAGCAGTCTTCCAGTATCTGAGGGGCTGCCCCAAAGAAGAGGCAGTCAAGCTTTTCTCCAAAGCGTCTTTTCTGGACCGGGACGCCTTACACACAGTCACTCATGCTCTTGTCACCTCCCGCCTGGACTACTGTAATGCTCTCTACATGGGGCTCCCTTTGAGGAGCACCCGGAGGCTTCAAATGGTCCAAAATGCGGCCGCGCGGGCGGTGTTGGGAGGGACTCGTCGCTCCCATGTGACACCGCTGCTGCGCGAGCTGCATTGNGGACCTGACCTAGGGTGGATTTTACATTGGGTTTTAAATATTCGGAAGACGCAACATTAAAATTCGGTTTAATTCGGTTTTAAGGGGGGGATTGTATATATGTTCTGGTTTTAAATATGTTGTGCGCCGCCCTGAGTCCCTGTCGGGAGAAGGGCGGCATATAAATTAAATAAAATAAATAAATAAATAAATAAATAAACGGATGGAAACTCACCAAGGAGAGAAGCAACCAGGAACTAAGGAGAAACTTCCTGACAGTTAGAACAATTAACCAGTGGAACAACCTGCGAGTTTTGCTCCATTCACTTGCCACGGTTGTTAAGAGAATCACCGCAGTTGTTAAGTGAGTCACACATTGTTAAGTGAATCTGGCTTCCCCCATTGACTTATCACAAGGTCGCAAAAGGGGATCACGTGACTCCCCAGGACGCTGCAACTGTCGTAAATATGAGTTGGTCGCCAAGCATTCGAATTCTGATCGCGTGACCATGGGGATGCTGCAATGGTCGCATGTATGAAAAATGGTCATAAATCATTTTGGGGGTACCGTCATAACTTTGAACAGTCACTAAATGAGCCACTGTCAGTCAAGGACCCACCTGTACATATGATGCATGTATACAAACAGACTTCTTCTCTCCGGCTGTTTTTTTTTTAAAAAAGCAAGGATTATGCGGAATACAGAACAGAAGCTACGTTTTGTTCACCCACCTGATCACTTCCGGGCCATTGGACTAAACATTTTTCAAAGAAGCTAAACCTACTTTTGCCTTGCTGTAATAAATCCAGGTCTAGGAACACACTCAGTCATACAGATGGTCCCTGACTTATGACCATTTGTACAGCGATCATTCAAAGTTACGACAATGCTGTAAAAGATGCTGGCTGGGGAATTCTGGGAGTTGAAGTCCACACATCTTGAAATGTCTAAGGTTGAGAAGCTCTCCTCTCCGTAAACTGCCTCAGTGGGTGGCCGTACCTGGCTGGCCTCGCCTTGCGTCCACTCTGGTTACCACACGGACCTAAGAGCCATGAAACCCTGCTGGCCAGCCACGTTTATACCGTTGCCAAGAGAGTGACACGGAGACGCCCGTTTGCGTATCAATTTCCAGGTTTCGGACTTGACCTTCCTTTTGATCACAGCGCTGCCCCAAAGCTCCTGGCTGGCCTTGCTAGTAACGGCAACCTTCCGCCCGGCTAATGGGGGGTCTGAGGAACTGCAGGCTGGGCGGGTGCCAGGCTGGGCAAGGCCGTTGGCACCAACGTGCTTCAATGTTCCTTGGCACGTTGGTTCCTGTTCCTGGCGCTGACGAGCCCGCTGCTCTCGCTGTCTTACATCCATCATGCCCAATCTAATAAACGGGAGTGACTTGTCAACTCAGCTGAAAGCAAAATGAAGGGAACGTATCTGACAGAACTAGGGTGAGAAAAGGAGAACACTCTAAAAGGCTTGTACCTTGTCCGGGGGGGTTTGATTCCAGCCCAGAAATGGTGATGGCATTCACGCGACATGGAAAACTACCTTGGTTTGGTCGGGGGACGAGCCGGCCACCCTCCCACCGACTGTCAAATCACAACCTTGACAAAAGCCTCTGCTGGCCCTGACAATTAAGAGGCCGGCTACCCCAGCGATTTTGGCACTAACCAGCAGTGTCTAATTGTTGATGCTGTTATAGTTGCTATGATCCAGGACACAAACAAAGGGCTGCGATGATGGCTCTGTCAGCCCTGGACTCTCAGCGTGGGAGAAAATGGAGGATTAAACCTTGAAGTGCTTTGTGGGGGGGAAGAGAAGGGGCAAAGAGAGAAAGGGGGAGGAAAGAAGAAGGGAAAGAGAAAGGAAAGGGAAGGGAAGGGAAGGGAAGGGAAGGAAAGGAAGAAGGAAAGGAAAGGAAAGGAAGGGAAGCTGCTGCTGTTCTCACTTCATTTTCCTGGAGGACCAAGGGATCACTTAATCCAGGAAATGTCTAAATTCTACTAAGCTACATCACAGCATAGTTACAAACTGATGTTAATATGATTTCCTTTAATTATACTCTGGCCCAAGGTCTGCATTGGCATACAACAATAAGCCAAGATACTATAGGGCAGTGTTGGCGAACCTTTTAGAGCAGTAGTGGTCAACCCATGGCACGGGTGCCAGAGGCGGCACTCAGAGCCCTCTCTGTGGGCACGCGCGCCGTCGCCTCAGTCCTAGGCCTTCAGCTGGGTTTTATAAAACCTTTTTGCTTTAGGCCTCCGCTGCTGTGTGCAAAACAAAAAAGGTTCAATCAATCAGTTAATTTCAACTTCTGGTGGGAAAAAAAAAGATCTTGCAAAGTTGGAATTGATTGATTGAACTTTTTAGTCCCACCCAGTCTGCCGTTACCACCGCAGCCACGCCCACCCAATGGGCCACGGCCACCCGGCACTCAGCGATGCATAAGTGGGTTTTGGGTTGCAGTTTGGGCACTCGGTCTCTAAAAGGTTCGCCATCACTGTTTTAGAGTGCCCAAAACCTGCTCCGCCCCCTGCCCCGCCCCCTCTGCTCT